TGGCCGTAAGTTGCAAATCCAATTCCAGTTGAGTTAAAAGCTAACCGTGGTTAAGTTATGTGGGTCCCAGTGTGTTATAAAAAAGTGTATATAGATGAAGAATAAAAGGAAAATAAAAAAGGAAAAAAAAGTATTAACCAGCTAAACACGGGGGTTCCATTTTCTGAGTAGTAAATTGGGGGAAATTAGATTCTTCACAGTTGTTGAGGGCTTTGACAGATGGGTCATTGTACATGGTGACGGTCTTCTCAGATTCAAATTCCTGAAACGTCACACCCCTCTACTCTCTCCTCACATCGCCAATCAGGTAATTTCACTCACACCTCACTCCTCTTCTTCCTCACTGCGCCAACGCCTCACCGCTTTTTTCTCCGCTTTTCAATTCCCCTAGATTCGCCACGCCCGACCTTCCACCTAGGGTTTCCACCTCAAATTCCAGATTTTCTCCTCCGTCAATTTCGACCGTTGCCTCCTCTTTTCAAATGCGCTGCTCCTGTAGATCCGTGGCGGGATTCGCTTCACTTTGAATTTCCTTCTCCCAAAAAACAAATACAGGTTCGCCTCCCAACATTTTCCCCTCTCTTCTTTTACCTCCTCCTTTTACTTCTTCCACTTCTTAAGTCTTCGCGTCAGTTTCACTTCTTAATTTTCCGTATTTTCTCGAGTTCCGTGACTTTCGCGTTTTAATTCCATTTCTCGGGGGTTTTGGGATGGACTTGATGCTTCCAATTTTTACTTGTAAATTTTACTTGTGATTTCTTCATGCTGGGTACACAATTTGTGAAACGCGGTATTGGTTTTTCCCTGTCTTTGTTTGAAGTGGGAAATCAGATAAGGTAATTCTCAGTTATTCGTTGTGTTGTGTTGAGTTTGCAAATGAATGGCTCCTTGGTGGAAGGGATTGGCCTTCCTCTTGTAGGTGCGATGGGACCGGAACTGGAACGGCAGCTGTTAGTTTAGGTTTTGGTTGGGTTAACTAGTAATATTTTATATGATTTGTGGCCGTTTGTAGTTCGCTTTCGTGTAGATCTGTCCCCATCTTCGTTTTTTAGAACTGGAAAAACTATTTAGAATATTATAAACTAAGACCTGCTGACGAGTGTGTTGAGTTCGGTCTAAATTTCAGTGTCAGTGAACAACTTAGAATGACGGAGAACCAAGTTTCGAAAATTTATTTTGGTTACACTTGGACGGATTCTGTTTAAGTGTTTGAGTTGGATTTTTTTTTTGTCTATGTGGGTTGTCTTGTTGCCATATAAGATAAACAAATGCCTAGTAGCTGAAGTCCACTACATGAATCGCATGACACCATTTGGCTCAATTCAAGACCCGATCCTTTGATATGTTTTTCACACGAGATTCCTTTTAACAACTTCCTCCAATGTTCTTTGTCGTCTCCCTCTTCCCATTTTCATGCGATTGTAAGCCATGCATTTTACCCTCCTCATCTCTATGATTTCTGCTTTTGGCCTAACTACCGTAACCAACTTAGTATCATATTTTCCTCTGTTGGTGTCGCACTAATATGTCTAACACATTACCTTCTCTGCTCTTCAATTTAGGCTACTTGATTACTTAATCGGGCTTTGTAACTGTATCAGTCACTACCATGTATGTTTTATGATATCCTCGCTTAATGTTGTAAGTGAGGAAAATACAATTATCCAGTTTCTTGATACCCAATTACCCAGGACTGCCCGATAGTAAACAAATGTTGACATTAGCAAATGTTACTCCCACATAATTTCTTTCAATCCATTAAATCACACTGTAATATTGGCGTGTTTAGTCAATAGGCCTGATCAGTGAATATGTCCATACCTGTGAATATTAGGATTTAAGGTACAAGCAAGAGACGAGTCTTATCATTCTTNATTACAAGTTATGAAAATCAACCAAAGTAGACAAAAGGATGGCAAAAAATGTTGTTCAAAAAGTGTTGTTCATTTGTGTTAATCCATGATGGACAATGTTTATACGACTTTCGGTCTTAATATATTCGGTCGTAAAGAAAGAGAGACAAACAACAAACTACCAAAAAAATACAATTTTTATCATCTACTAGTCGACTCCATCTTCAGGGTCGAAAATCTCCTCATCTTCCTTCACGGGATCAACAAAAACAGAGGAGCTTACTCTAGCACTCTCTTCTCCGAATGCATCATCATCAATGACATCTTCAACTATAGTCATCTTATCTGCTCTGGCAGTCGTTATCTCATCAACATCCATCATACGAACCTCGAAAATGTCTTTATCACGTCAAATCTTACATCCTTAGAAGAAACCTCTTAATATAAGAACTTTATCTACCTAATTGCCATATTGAAGTCGTTGTTGATATGCTCAGTTATTATAAACTTTGGCAAAACAACCATGTTGGCCTTTGCCCGGGCCTCCTTCTCATCAACAATTTCCTTTTTCAAAACATCGTTTTCCATCTTCAGCTCCTTTTCTTTATTTATAGCTTTCTTCTTAGAATTTATTTGTTTTCCAAGGTTTTAACTGCTTTACGTTCTTCTCAAGGGGCCTTTTTTCCTCAACCCATGCATTTTTATTGTCCTCATAACTCTTTTGCAGATTGGCAAACTCGGTCATTTTAATCTTCTTCTTGTCGACCAACTCCTTTTATAGCAAGTTAGATACTTTGAAGCCAAACACCAAAGATCGACTTAGGAATTCTAAAAGTGCACATATCAATATGGTTGACTCAATCTCTTTAATCACCTTCAACTCATTTTCCTTCAGTTTTATCTACACCCATTTGCACATAGTAATAAAGGGACCTTCCTACCGCCCAATTTGGCAGGCTTGCTCCCAGAACCAGAGCTACCACATATGGCAAGGAGCTCAATCCTTAACTTCTTCCAATCCTTGTAGACACCTTGTTACTTGGACAACACCATCCTCTTTTTATTGCTCTATGGCTGATGAGTGTCCCCCACCAGACCTCTTAGGTTGGGGACCGAGGCCTCTCTAAGCTTTCTCACCTCCTCGACCAGTTGGTTCCTCAATTTACAAAAACATATCTTAATTCATCCCTACCTTAACAAACACCACAAAATTTTCATATCAGCTTAGAATTATCAAGTTACATAAAATTTTTGCCTTACCTTGCAAATCAATTACTAGTTGGGTGAACAAATACACCCTAATAATGTTTTTTATAGGTAATTTACGAGGAAACTTCTATAGGATTCCAACAACCCTCCTATCTTTTTTGAAAAAATGTCCTTATGTCACTCCTTATACCTAAAAGGGTTGTTTGTCCAGTAAAATGGAAACTTTGGCTTGTCATCTTCATCATAAAAGTGTGATCGGGCCAGCCAGGTTCACTATCACTAGGGGTGGCAATGCGATACGAGTTAGCCTATAGGTCCGCAATGAAAGCGCGGGACGAGTTGGGGTTTCGATCCCGCTAACCCACATAAGATTGACCCGCATTTACAAACATATACAAATATCTAGTAATACCAACATATATAAATGAACTTGGAATCGGTTTTGGACATACGAGAATCGATTCCCAAACACATGCAAGCTTCAAGGAATCAATTTCAACCATTTAAAGAGTTAGTTCCAAAAAACCAAGAACTGATTTCCCAACATTCCAACGTCCACACAAGCCTATTTTTCACCTAAAACCTCGCGTGTTTGGTAGCTCCATAGATTCCACAACTACCATGACGCTGCCATGACTACCATGGACGTGTAACACCTTTCTTTTTTGTGAACAGGCTTCTTAACGTGAACGAGTTCAAGAACGTTATTATAAAAACACATTCAATACCCTTTAATCTTCTTGCTTCAAGTAAAATTGGATCAAGCCATCATCCCACTAATTTACATTCTCAAATAAGCACAAATGAACACAAACCGTTTTTATATATCCATACTCTCTAATCCTTCTACGTAGAAAATTATCTTAAAGATAGTCTAAAAAAAAATTAATAATTTAAAATTGTATTTAATTTCAATTAGATAGTAATATACTTGTATATATCGAATTATAGGTTGAATCTTTAACATTTTATGGAGAATAATTGATGCTTTCATACTTCAATCACATAAAAAAAAACACAAATATTCTAAATAAGAATAAACTAATGATAATCCTCTTGGCCGTAAGTTGCAAATCCAATTCCAGTTGAGTTAAAAGCTAACCGTGGTTAAGTTATGTGGGTCCCAGTGTGTTATAAAAAAGTGTATATAGATGAAGAATAAAAGGAAAATAAAAAAGGAAAAAAAAGTATTAACCAGCTAAACACGGGGGTTCCATTTTCTGAGTAGTAAATTGGGGGAAATTAGATTCTTCACAGTTGTTGAGGGCTTTGACAGATGGGTCATTGTACATGGTGACGGTCTTCTCAGATTCAAATTCCTGAAACGTCACACCCCTCTACTCTCTCCTCACATCGCCAATCAGGTAATTTCACTCACACCTCACTCCTCTTCTTCCTCACTGCGCCAACGCCTCACCGCTTTTTTCTCCGCTTTTCAATTCCCCTAGATTCGCCACGCCCGACCTTCCACCTAGGGTTTCCACCTCAAATTCCAGATTTTCTCCTCCGTCAATTTCGACCGTTGCCTCCTCTTTTCAAATGCGCTGCTCCTGTAGATCCGTGGCGGGATTCGCTTCACTTTGAATTTCCTTCTCCCAAAAAACAAATACAGGTTCGCCTCCCAACATTTTCCCCTCTCTTCTTTTACCTCCTCCTTTTACTTCTTCCACTTCTTAAGTCTTCGCGTCAGTTTCACTTCTTAATTTTCCGTATTTTCTCGAGTTCCGTGACTTTCGCGTTTTAATTCCATTTCTCGGGGGTTTTGGGATGGACTTGATGCTTCCAATTTTTACTTGTAAATTTTACTTGTGATTTCTTCATGCTGGGTACACAATTTGTGAAACGCGGTATTGGTTTTTCCCTGTCTTTGTTTGAAGTGGGAAATCAGATAAGGTAATTCTCAGTTATTCGTTGTGTTGTGTTGAGTTTGCAAATGAATGGCTCCTTGGTGGAAGGGATTGGCCTTCCTCTTGTAGGTGCGATGGGACCGGAACTGGAACGGCAGCTGTTAGTTTAGGTTTTGGTTGGGTTAACTAGTAATATTTTATATGATTTGTGGCCGTTTGTAGTTCGCTTTCGTGTAGATCTGTCCCCATCTTCGTTTTTTAGAACTGGAAAAACTATTTAGAATATTATAAACTAAGACCTGCTGACGAGTGTGTTGAGTTCGGTCTAAATTTCAGTGTCAGTGAACAACTTAGAATGACGGAGAACCAAGTTTCGAAAATTTATTTTGGTTACACTTGGACGGATTCTGTTTAAGTGTTTGAGTTGGATTTTTTTTTTGTCTATGTGGGTTGTCTTGTTGCCATATAAGATAAACAAATGCCTAGTAGCTGAAGTCCACTACATGAATCGCATGACACCATTTGGCTCAATTCAAGACCCGATCCTTTGATATGTTTTTCACACGAGATTCCTTTTAACAACTTCCTCCAATGTTCTTTGTCGTCTCCCTCTTCCCATTTTCATGCGATTGTAAGCCATGCATTTTACCCTCCTCATCTCTATGATTTCTGCTTTTGGCCTAACTACCGTAACCAACTTAGTATCATATTTTCCTCTGTTGGTGTCGCACTAATATGTCTAACACATTACCTTCTCTGCTCTTCAATTTAGGCTACTTGATTACTTAATCGGGCTTTGTAACTGTATCAGTCACTACCATGTATGTTTTATGATATCCTCGCTTAATGTTGTAAGTGAGGAAAATACAATTATCCAGTTTCTTGATACCCAATTACCCAGGACTGCCCGATAGTAAACAAATGTTGACATTAGCAAATGTTACTCCCACATAATTTCTTTCAATCCATTAAATCACACTGTAATATTGGCGTGTTTAGTCAATAGGCCTGATCAGTGAATATGTCCATACCTGTGAATATTAGGATTTAAGGTACAAGCAAGAGACGAGTCTTATCATTCTTATTTCTTCTTTGAATTTATGTTGACCTACTAAATAATCTTATAATTTTCCCTAGACATTAATGACACTTAAGTTGTTCCATACAGATGATGATAAAGGTTTCCTATGCAGTGCAATGTAACTGATCACACATCTAATTATTTAAAACGGAAACTCTTTATAAAATGTTGACACTATAAACTTCAGCTTTTGTCATTAATAGTTTTGAATATGTATTTTTCATCTGTACTTTGAAGAGTTGGTTTACTTATAATTGTTGCCTACGCACACTAAAATCTTAAGAAATTTAGTCATTGTTTTTCAATTTCTCTCTCCATTGGTTCAGGTACATGGTTGAGGAGCTTCCTCAAGCAGAGGAGGCCTGATATAAAATCCAGTAGTCGTGTTCAATCTCTCTGCCTCTTAATTACCTGAGGAAGTAACTTACGGATAATTAAGACTACTGGATAATGGAGTGCAACAAAGATGAGGCAGTTCGGGCCAAAGAAATAGCAGAGAGGAAATTTTCAGAAAGGGAATATGTTGGTGCAAAGAAATTTGCTCTCAAGGCTCAAAATCTGTATCCTGATTTGGAGGATATTACCCAGCTCTTGACAACAATTGATATTTATATATCTGCTGACAATAAAGTAAGCGGAGAAATGGATTGGTATGGTATACTTGGAGTGAGTCCCTTTGCTGATGAGGAGACTGTCAGGAAGCAATACAGGAAGCTGGCTCTCACCCTTCACCCTGACAAAAACAAGTCTTTGGGTGCAGAGGGTGCATTTAAGTTGGTTTCAGAGGCATGGAGTTTGTTATCAGATAAGACCAAGAGACTCGAATATAACCAGAAGAGGAGTTTGAAAGGATTCCAGCATAATACTTCCAACCATGTTGGATCTAAATCAGATGCACCCAGTTCAAATGGTTTTTACAATTTAAAGAAGAATGTAACTTCAAATGTCAGGACTGGAAATAATAATGGTCGGGCACCTTCAACTGCAGTTCCTCCTCCACATAAAAAAGCTGATACCTTTTGGACGATCTGCAATCGGTGCAGGACACATTATGAATATCTCAGGATTTATTTGAATCACACCCTTTTATGTCCAAACTGTAATGAAGCTTTTGTTGCTGTAGAGAGGGGTCCACCACCAAATGTTTTTAAGCCACCAAATTGGTCTTCTCATCAACAACGACATCAAAATTCTCAACACCATGCTGGAAGTAATAATACAAACTTTCAGTGGGGTTCTCACAATAGAATGGCTGGTTTTGGTAGCACAGATGGATCAACATCTGTTGCAGCTCAAGCTGCAAGTGTTGTGCAACAGGCAAGTGAGAAAGTAAGGAGAGAGGGTTCCTTTCACAAAGCTGAAAAACCTATGAAAAAAAGAAGGACAGATGATATTCGAGTTAATGGCTATCAAGGATACATGGCTAATCATATGACCGGGGGACATGGAGCAGCTGGCTTGGGAAGCTTTTCTGAATCAGGAAAGGCTAACTTGGAAGCAGAAAGGAATTATGGTTTTTCAGGTCTGCCTGGCAAGCATTACAGCACAAGGGAATTGTCAATGTTTGAATTACGAAACATGTTGATGGACAAGTCACGCAATGTAATTCGTAAGAAACTTCAAGAATGGAAATCAATGGCTGAAGCTAAGATTAACAGGGATAAAGAAAATAAGAGACAGAAAAGCACATTAACAACTGGTTCAGAAAAGCTGAGAGAGCCTGCTGTCAATGGTAACAGGCATCCAAACATTGATTCTTTCCCTGTCAGAAGTGACCAAGCTTATGTTACCATCAATGTTCCAGACCCTGATTTTCATAACTTTGATTTGGACAGAGATGAAAGTTCCTTTGCCGAGGACCAGGTGTGGGCTGCGTACGACGAAGATGATGGAATGCCTCGATATTACGCTAGAATTCACAAGGTGATCTCTATAAAGCCATTTAAAATGAGGATCAGTTGGCTTAATTCTCGAAGCAACAGCGAATTGGGCCCAATAGATTGGGTGGGCTCTGGTTTTTATAAGACTTGTGGGGATTTCAGAACTGGCAAGCACGAAATATCTGAATCATTAAATTCTTTCTCTCACAAGGTTAGGTGGACAAAAGGCACGAGAGGTGTTGTTCGCATCTTTCCTGGAAAGGGGGAAGTCTGGGCTCTTTACAGGAACTGGTCTCCTGATTGGAATGAACATACCCCAGATGAAGTGATACACAAGTATGATATGGTGGAGGTGCTCGAAGATTTCAATGAAGAACAGGGCATATTAGTTACCCCTCTAGTTAAGGTAATTGGTTTTAGGACTGTGTTTCAAAGGCATGCAGACCGTGATCAGGAGAAGAGGATTCTTAAAGAGGAAATGTTTCGATTCTCTCATCAGGTTCCTAATTGCTTGTTGACTGGCCAAGAAGCTCAGAATGCTCCAAAGGGTTGTCGAGAGTTGGATCCAGCCGCTACTCCTTTAGACCTCCTTCAGATAACCACAGAAGCTAATGAGACATCAGATAATGCATAGGATCTATGGGGAAGAAATGAGGCTCGCTTCACCTGCTGTGAAATGGGACAGAGAATGCATAAAAACCTTGTAGAGCAGAAATGTTAAACGAGGGTAGTAAACAGAAAAAAAAAAGAATGCAAAGGATAGAAATGTTTGTGTGACTGATGATGCAATAGGCTTGAGAAATCAAAATGAAGATTGATGAAAATACAGTCTTTCACGACTCTTTCATTTTGTAAGGCCTGACAAAGATATTTTATAGTAAACTTTTGGTGTTACATATGGGTCGAAGGGATCCACAGCTTTTCGGTTTTTGTTGTATAATTTCCAGACATGGCAGTTATCATTCATCGTTCTGCAAGCAAAATGAATAGACTAGTTCTGGCATTTCATGTCGTCCTATGCCTGGTGCTTTACTCTTCCAGTTTATGGACGTGCATGTTCTGTCTTGTGTGATAAACTCGTGAGTTTTAATTACATCTGATTCATTTCCTAATTGTAGTGTTATATCCAATACAAATAGTGTTTTAGCTATTATCTGTTTAACGCTGCATTCTCTTTTATTTGTAACTCACTTGATTAAAATTATAACTATATACCCTTGGTACCCTTGATCTGTTTATGCTAATGGGTAGGGGCTTTTTGCGCTCTGATTTTATATGTGGGCTTGTATGAAAATCAAATTCAATTCGTTAACCAAAATTGAAAGTTTTAGTATAAAATAGATATAGTAATGTTTTATATAAAACAAACTGAAAATTGTCATTGAATGTGTACCGGTCACTGTTTACTTATTTATTTTTTAAAATATTGTTTCTAAATCATATTTTTTTACTCTCCAGTCATTTTTTTTTCTTTCTAAAATGTCAATATTTTCGAGTTAAGCAGACGTATTAAGAAGTATTTTGAAAACATTTTTTTTCTATAATTCAGCACTATTAATATATATTTTTTTTATTATAGTATATTTTTGTAATTAAAACAAATGAATGCGGTGAAATTTGGAGGGTGGGAATGTGAAAAGAGAGATAAGGAGAGTTGGGTGGTGGAGCTGAGTGAAAAGTAAAAATGGGTAGAAAGACAAGGTTTGAGTTTAAAGTAAATAAATAGGATTAAAAGTAAAAAAAAAAGTTATTTTTGTAATTAAAATTTTAATACTACAACACCCGAATTTTAATACTACAGACA